AAGAGCTATGTTGGCCCTATGTTGAGCCATCTTGGAGGCTATGTTGGCCATATGTTGGGAATATGTTGGCTATCTAGGGCCTATGTTGGGGATATGTTAGGAATTATGTTGAAAAAATCTTCCGATACAACTTTTGACGATTTGTTTCTTCCCGCAAACCAAAAACACTGAAAAAACCGATGTGTTTTTTTTGACGTCGCCAAGCTGAAATTCTCGGCTGCCGAGGGGCCCGAAACCCTGTAAAGGGATATGTTGGGCACAAAGAGCACATCTGGGGCCCATATTGATCCTATGTTGAGCACGTTAGCCCTATGTTGGCCTCGGTTGGGCCTATGTTGGGCCTATGTTGGCGTCTGTTGGCCCCTAGTTGGCCTATGTTGGCCCTATGTTGAGCCATCTTGGAGGCTATGTTGGGCATATGTTGGGGATATGTTGGCTATCTTGGGCCTATGTTGGGCCTATGTTGGCGTCTGTTGGCCCCAAGTTGGCCTATGTTGGCCCTATGTTGAGCCATCTTGGAGGCTATGTGGGGCATATGTTGGGGATCTGTTGGCTATCTTGGGCCTATGTTGGGGATATGTTAGGCGATTTATGTTGAAAAAATATTCCGATACAACTTTTTGCGATTTTTTCCTTCCCGCAAAGCAAAAACCATGAAAAAACCTAGGTTTTTTGACATCGCCCAGATGAAATTCTCGGCCGCCGAGGGCCCCCAAACCCTGTAAACCACAGTGTTTTTTATACCTCACACACACGAAACCCTGTAAATTACGTTGATATCAGTGACCCGGTGGTCCCCCTGTTTTGGTGACGAGGGTCGGCGGTTGGGGGGGCGAGCGTCTATAACCTTCGGTTACCACCGAAGGCCCTCCGGGCAGGGCACGGGCTTCGTGGCCGGCGCCCGGATTTAAGGGCTTACGCCCGACAGCCGGCCAGGGGCCCAAGCAAAGGGCTTGTTGCAGTCGTGGTAGTGCGCTTGTCCTTGTAGTTGTCGTTGTTGCTCGTGTTGCTGTTGTGGTTGGTGTTGTTTCCGCGGTGGTTGTTGTTGTAGTTGTCGTTGGTGGTAGTGGTGGCTCGTTGTTGTTGTTGTTGTTGTTGTTGTTGTTGTTGTTGTTGTTGTTGTTGTTGTTGCTTTCTTGGCCCAGCTTGGGTCGATGCTGGCGTGTCTTGGGGGCTATCTGGGCATCTTGGGAGCTACGCTAGCCCATCTTGTCGCTATGCTGGGGCTATGTTGGCCCATCTTGGGGGCTATGTAGGCCCATCTTGGCGCTATCTTGGCCCATCTTGGGGCCATGTTGGCCCATCTTGGGGGCTATGTTGGCCCATGTTGGGGCTATGTGGCCCATGTTAGCCCAGCATCCGCCACTCTTGGGCCATCTTTGGGCTCTGTGGGGCCATCTCAAGGCTATGTTTGGCCTATCGGGGCCCTCTGCTGCCCCACCTTGACCTTCTGTAGGCATATGTCGTCCGATCTTGCCTCTGTGTTGGCCCAAACAAAAAGGAAACGCAAAAAATTGGGCCATCTCAAAACCAAATTCCCAAGGTCCACGCAAACCCCATGCCATGGAGGGGAAACATGCTAGGTTGGCCCATTTTGGGTGCCATGTTGGCCCACCGTCGGGGCTGTGTTGGCCACTCTTGGGGCTAGGTTGGCCCATCTTGGAGGCTATGTTGGCCCATCTTGGGGCTATGTTGACCCATCGTGGGGTTATCTTGACCCAGCTTGGGGGCTATGTTGGCCCATCTTGACCCTATGTTGGCACCATCTTGGGCCATGTTGGCCCAACTTGGGCACTTTTTTCGGCTCATGTTGCGCCGTGTTGACCCATCTTGAGCCACAAAGCCGGAAAAATGCAAGAAGCAGAAAACACTGTAAAACGCGGGACTGCGCATGGGTCGAGCAGGGGTCGGCGGCAGGGGCGGGACTCCACTCTCTCCTTCGGAGAGGAGAGATGCCTACGG